CATAGTGCTAGCCAACATAGCACTGCCGAGCCTATAAGGATGCTGCGGGTTTTTTTTCCCAAGGTGGAGAACCTTGCATTTATCGGCGTTGAACACCATCAGATTCTCGTCCGCCCACTTGCTGAGCCTGTCCAGGTCAGCCTGGATCACCTGCCTGTCTTCTGGTGTGGATGCTTTTCCCCAAAGTTTGGTGTCATCAGCGAAATTGGCCAGTCCACTTGTGACTCCAGTGTCCACATCATTAATGAAGATGTTGAACAGATTGATTAACACTGGTGGTTTGGGTGAGGCTTTTGGGGAAGGAGGAGGCCTCATTGGGGCCCCACTATAGCGTGGGGACCCCGGTGCCAGAGAGGGCGCAGTATTCAGGGTGCACAGGCCCCGGCACCAGAGGGTGCAATCCTAAAAGGCCAGGGTGGCTTGGTGCACGTGGGTGTTTTTTTTTTCCTGGCTGGGACAATGGAGGTTCAAGGCCGTTGGCCAGCTTTGAACTTGCAACACCCTGGCTGTGGGGCCGGTGGATGGGCTTTTGGGCCAGAGAGGCTGGACTCCAGATCAGAGCAAAAAGGAGGGCCACGAGCCCCAAGACTAAAGAGCTAGAGCCTCAGAGTCAAACCCTCTCTGGTGGGTTTAGACAGGGAGGCCTAGCTAGAGAAAGATGGGGTCAAGGCCTGTGGTGGCAGAGGACCCCAACATACAAAAAACAATAGGCAGTCTCCTGCTTAAAAGAACATCGGTATAATATTTCCATCAAGACGTGGCAGACAAGTAGAAAGCGGGACACGAGAAACCTTAAGGGGACTCCAAGGGTGCCCCACGTAGGTCGCGGATAACGTGCAAGATGGTGCTGGGGAGGGCACCCTGTTACATTGGTGCATTGGCCGGGGAACTTCCTACGGTAACGTGTACCCTGAGAGGATGGTTTGCCCGAATGAAAGGAAGAACTCTTGGGTCCAAAAAGAAGGCAAGAAAGATGGTGCAGACCCAAGCCTCAGATCTAGGGCAACAACAACAGATACTGGAACTCCTGTGTCAAGCAGTCTGCAGGAACAAACAAAAAGACAACAGGCATTGTTAAAAAAAATGATGAGGGGCATACAGACAAACCGAGTCCCCCCCTATGAGGGTGTTTGTGGGTATGGTGCCAGGGTTCACCCTGAGCCAGGAGAGGAACGGCCCATACTAATGGTGGATATGAGGCTTCAGGGACAAAGGATACAGGCTATGTTGGATTCTGGCTCATCGCACACAATAGTGCGGAGAGACATGCTACTAAGAACACAGAGGGAAGTAGCAGCTCAGATAATCATTCAATGCTTGTGCCGGGAGGCCCAAAGACAAGACAGAGTGTGGGTTACTCTGCAAGTGGGCGAGAAAGCACACCGAATGCTGGTCGGAGTAGCTGAGCACTTACCTTATCTGATGATGCTGGGATGTGAATGGCTGGAGCTTCTGACAGGCATAGCCCAAGCATATAGTTTGAGAGGGGCGAGAAAAACTGAAGGTGCCCCACAATGCTACCCCATTCGGACTAGGGGGAAAACCTCTGAAGAGAAGTCAGAGGTAGGAGAAAACCCCAGATGGAGACTGCTGGGAACAGGAAAAAGAGGATGTAAGCCAGCGAGGTCTGAGGTGGTACTTGAGGCTAAATGACCTCCGTCAGATGAAGAAGCAGAACAGGTGTATGTGGCGCACTTGTGGGAGGATGAGCTTTTCGAATTGGAACAGAGCAGAGAGGAAGGGTTTCAGTATGCTTTCTAGGAACACCTAGCCCAGCAAAATGGGGAGGTGCTACGACCAGAGCTGATGAAGACCACCCTACAATTCAAAGTGAGGAACAATCTCCTATATAGAGTCAAACGTGGAACACATGGGGGAGAGGAAGTAGTACAATTGCTGGTACCTCGGCAATACCGGAAGGCCCTACTGAAAGTAGCTCATGAACTCCCTATGGGCAGACATTTGGGACAAGACAAGACCAAAGCTCGCATTAGGGGAAGATTTTTTTGGCCGGAGTTAATACGGGAAGTGGCAAAGTACTGTGCATCTTGCCCCGTGTGCCAAAAAGTAAACCCTAGTTGTCCCCCAAGAGCTCCATTAGTACCACTACCTTTGGTGGAAGTCCCCTTTGAGCAGGTGGCCGTTGATATTGCGGGGCCACTGCCAAGAAGCAGTGCTGGGCACCATTTTATTTTGGTCTTCCTGGACTATGCAATGAGGTTTCCAGAGGCCATACCTATGCGGACGGTGTCTGCCTCCAAGGTGGCAGAGGAGTTATTGAAAATATTCTCCCGCGTGGGACTCCCTAAAGAACTGCTGACTGACCAAGGAACAAACTTTACATCTTGTGTGTTTGAGGGAGTGTGTAAAACACTGGGAATTAAACACCTAAAGACCACAGTATACCATCCCCAAACTGATAGGCTAATGGAGCAGTTTAACAGGACTCTGAAACAGATGTTGAAGAAGTTTGTGGTAAAGAGCCCCCAGAAGTGGGATCAAATGTTACCGCCCTTGTCGTTTGCAGTAAGAGAGGCACCCCAAGCCTCAACAGGGTTTTCCGCTTTTGAACTATTATATGGACGGCAACCAAGAGGAATTCTTGATTTGATCAAAGAAAGCTGGAAAGAGAAACAAAGTAAAGACTGGAACCTGGTTCAATACATGATATAACTGAGAGAACGCCTGGAGACAGCACAGAAAGAAGCTTTAGAAAATCTGAGGGGGGCCCAAGAGCGGCAAACAACCCATTACAATTGAGGGGCTCGAGAAAGGAAGTTTGAAGTGGGAGACCGCGTATTTGTTCTTTTGCTGGACCAGGAGAGTAAGTCACTAGCACGATGGCAGGGCCCTTATGAAATAATATGCCAAGTAGAGCCTGTAGATTATGAAGTGCATCAGTCAGACAGCAAAAGAAAAAACAGGTATACAACATTAATATGCTGAAGGTATGGCAAGAACGAGAGTGCCTATACTTGGCCCTTCAACCGGATGAACCAGAACTGGGACCCTCCCTGAGGGAGAGGGATGGGAGAAGTGAAATGGAAGTGGCTCCATGACTCTCTGAAGAGCAGAGGCGATAGGCAATGGAACTAGTGAGAGAATATGGAGACGTATTCCAGGAGGTACCTGGGGAAGCTCGGGGAGTGATGCATTGAATAAGGACCCCTCCAGACCAGGTGATCTGCGAAAACTGGAGGCAAATCCCACAAAAACTTCAAGGACAGATAAAAGAGGAACTTTAGATGATGTTAACAAAGGCATAATACAAGAATCCCGAAGCGACTGGAGCAGCCCCATTGTGGCAGTGCCAAAGCCAGATGGAAAAATTAGGCTCTGTATTGATTTCCGAAAAGTAAATGTGGTGGCTAAGTTTGATGCTTATCCGATGCCAAGGGTGGACAAAATGGTGAAGAACATAGAGCCAGCCAGTTATATCTCTACACTGGACTTAATGAAAGGCTACTGGCAAGTCCCCTTAGCACCCGGGGACTAAGAAAAGACAGTCTTTGCCACACCATAGGGCCTATTCCATTTCCGACACATGCCATTCGGATTACACAGAGCCACTGTAACATTTCAGCAGCTAA